GTGTCGGAGGCAGTGCGGTTGGTGCAGGATAGAGCAGGGTTTAGGGCTCTTGTGCATAGGGTCGCTATGAGTCGCAAAAGACTCGACGGCACATAACAACAACAACAACTTCTCAAACTGAAGGGAAAGAAAATGGTAGAAAGAAATTCAAGAAAGGTACATGAGAGTACATTGTGTTAACTCTCTACTCTTGTGCAAAAGAAATATTTCCATATGAAAATGTTTAAAAGGAAGTGAGTTTCCAAGTAGTAACGGAGTACATTTATCATTATAATCTACTGCATATCTGGATGAAAAGAAAAAACCCCAACAAAACTCTCCTAGTTAAGAGTCCTCCCCTAGTAGCCTTCCGGAGAAGGGGATGGCGGCAAAGAGAAGTGATGAATTTATCTGTCAGGTTTTTATACTGGGGAGTTCTTTGCACACTGCTGTTCTGAACAGTTTAAATATTAAATATTGTTTGTCTATCACCTGTTCTTTTGAGTAGAATGCTTGTCTGTTAGATGTACTAAAGTAGGGCTCTCAAATTATGAGACTATTAAAAAGGCCTAGACATCCACTTCTGAAATAACAGGCCTTCAGAAACCCTAGAATAGAGCACACAAAGACTATTAGCCATAGCACTGGAGTCTGAGCTCTCATATTGAAAACACAATAATGAGGAGGAATAGTTGCAAACAGTCAATAATAACTGGAACATGGAATGCAGGAAAACTGCATTGTTAAAAAATAAATGGAATGCAAAAGTATTGATAAACTAGGCACTGGCAAGCTGAGATGGATTGACCATATGATCTACAATCATATGATCAAATCAGGAATGAAAAAATGAGGAAAAATGGGCTTGCATTCATAATAAAAAAGACCATATATAGAGCCACCCTGAAGTACAACTGTGTGAGTAACAGGATACATACAAGGAAGACCTGTTAATACCATTATCATTCAATTTTATGCATCAACAACAAACAATAGAGGAAGAAATAAGAGTTCTACCAACTTTTTCAGTATAAGTTGATCGAACATGCAACCAAGATTCATTAATCAACTGACTGGAATACAAAAGTTGGGAAGAAGGAAGACTATTTTCCAGTAGTCAGAAAATAGACTTGGTGATAGAAATGAGACTGGAGATAGAATGATAAAATTTTTACAATTATTGATTTATTCACAGAAAATTCCTTTTATAAAAAACACAACTGGTGTCTATACACATGTACCTCAGTTGATGGCCTGCAAAGGCTTTAGACTAATCACATCTGTGGAAAAAATCATTGGTAAAGCTTGTATCAGCTGTGAAAACCAGATCAGGTGCCAACTTTGGACTAGAGCATCAACTGCTTATGCACAAATTTAAATTGAAGCTAAAGAAAATGGGAGGGGGGAAATGTACAAGAACTTCAAAATATGACCTTAAGTCTATTGTACCTGAAATTGAAAACCATTTCAAGAAAAGGTTTGAGGCTTTGAATACTAAGGAACAGAGGCCAGATGAGTTATTGAATGATAAAAAGTGTATTATTCATGAAGAAAGCAAAAGTTCATTACAAAGATAGAGGAAGAACAGACCAAAATAGATGTCAGATGTGACTCTGAATATTGCACTTGAGCATCAAGAAGCGAAACAAAGGGAAGAAATCAGAAGTTAAAGAGCTGACAGATTTCAAAGGACACTTGTGATGACAAGGCAAAGTACTATAATGAAATGTGCAAAGAGCTAAAGTCAGAAAATGAAAAGGAAAGAACTCACTTGGCATTTTTCAAACTGAAGGAACTGATGGATAAATTCAAGCGGTGGGGTGCAATACTTAAAAATGCTAAGGGCAAAATCTTGAATAACCCAGGAAGCACCAAAACAAGATGGAAGAAATATGCAAAGTCACCGTACCAAAAAGAACTGGCTGACACAGAACCATCTCAGGAAGAATCATATGATCAAGAACCGAGAATCATATGATCAGGAATCAATGGTAATGACGGGAGTTCAAGCTGTTCTGAGGGAAGTGGCAAAAAATTAGGCTCTAGGAATTGATGGAATATCAATTGACATATTCAACAAACAGATACAGCCCTGGATGTGCCTACCAGGTTGTGCCAAGAAATCTGGAAGACAGCTACCTGGTGAAATGAACATATTTATTCCCATTGATCCAATAAGTTCCCAATGATTCAATAAATATGGACCATTCTAAAAATGATCCAGAACCCAAAAATGTGATCCAATACAATGTAAAAATTATCAAACAATATCACCAATATTATAGCCAAACAAAATCTAGAAGATTATCCAAAAACAAGTAGAAGGTACATCAACAGAGAACTGTCAGAAATACAAGTAGGGTTTATCATAGGCCGTGGCACCAGGGACATTATTGTCAATGCCACATGGATCTTGGCTGAAAGTAGAGTATAAGAAGGATGTCTATTTGGGTTTCACTGACTATGCAGAGGCATTTGACTGTGGGGATCACAACAAACTGTGGCTAACATTGACAAGAATGGAAATCCTAGAACACTTGATTGTGCTCATGTGAAACTTAGACCAAGAAGCTGTTATCCAAACAGAACAAGGGAACAAAGGTTCAAAATCAAGAAAGGAGTGAGTCAGGGATGCATCTTGTCTCCATACCTTTTCAATCTATACGTGGAACAGATAATTCAGGAGGCTGGACTTTATGAAGAAGAACATGGCATCAGGGTGGCAGAAGACCTTTCAACAACTTCCATTATGCAGATGACAACTTTGTTTTCCGAAATTGAGGAGGATCTGAAGTGTTTGCTGTAGAAGGTCAAGGACAATGGCCTTCAAAATAGATGGCATGTCAACATCAAGAAAACCAAGATCCTCACCACTGGGCCAATAATCAATATCAGGATAGACGGAGAAAAGATTGATTCTGTCAGCCATTTCATCTTGTTCAGGCACACAATCAACACTCTTGACATCAGCAGTCAGGAAATCTAAAGACTAATTGCACTGGGGAAATTTGCTGTTAGACTCTTCCAGAGAGCTAAAGAGCAACAATGTAAGTCTAGAGACTGAGTTGCACCTAATGGAGGCCATGGTCTTCTCAATTACTTGCCATCCACTTGAGAGCTGGACAACAAATAAGGATGACAGAAGCAGAATCAATGTCTTTGAGTTGTGGTTCTGGTTAAGAGTAATGAACATACTATGGACTGTCAAGAGGATAAACAGGTCTGTCCTGAAGAAGGTGAAACCAAGATGCTCCTTGGAGGCAAGGATTTTGAAGTGCTGCCCCCATACTTTGGGCATGTTGCCAGGAAAGGTAAGTCTTTGGAGAAGGACATCATGCTTGGAACAGTAGTAGTTCAGTGCAAGAGAGGGAGACCCTGGATGAGATGCATTGATACAGTGACGGTGTCAAAACTATTGTTCATAGGGTCACTATGAGTCATAATTGACTCAATGGTACAACAACTTTCTAAAACAAAAATTACCAATCATAGACGGAAAGAAGGTCCTGGTGGAATTGTAGTTATGTGTGTTTAATAGAACCAACTCATAGCTGACTCTGCAGCAGCTTTTCAGAGGCTATAAATTGCTCATCTTTCTCCTGTGGAGCAAGTGGTGGACTGACAGTGCAAATCCTTACCCCTAAGACACCAGAGCTCCCTCCTGGTGGAGTAGGAAGAAGGAATATGTAAAGCATAGAAGAGACAAATGTAGACAATTATGTCACATGAAGAGTATGGATCTGAAAAAGGAGATCCAGTATGTTCACAAGCTGAGGGGAAGGAATAACACTGAGGGTGAAGGAGGGCAGGAATTTAAGTAAACAATAGGTTCTATGGGGAGTAGCATATTCATGCATCCTGTATGAATGATGGAGTAAGAGGTGGCATCTAGAAACAGAGGCTGTCCTTAGGAGACAGTCAATCTCTAATTCAATTCTAGGATAAGCATAAGTATAAATGCAAATGTGCTTGTTACCTGGGTCCACACTGGGTTGGAGAGCCACTAATGGCATCTGTTCTTTGAGGAACGTAGAGAACCTATAGCACACCAATGTGAGAAGATGAAACAGCACAGGCTTTGGAGTTAGACTGGACTTGAATTTTACTGTTAATAATGTAAATTCAGATAAAACACAGCTGAATGCTCAACCATAAAACAGATAATAGACTTAGTAAGGAGTCTTGATGAAGAAGTGGATAATGCCAACCGAAAAGATCACTGTAATATATATATATATATTATAGTTAGATTCTACTAGCCATGCTATAAGAGAAAGATAAGCCATCTCCTTCTATAAAGATTCACAGCCTCAGGAACTCAATGGCGATGGAAAGGAGTAAGTAGAATGTGGGTAACAACCTATGGCGGTTGTGAGGATAATGCCTGTTCTGATACATAATGACTATTGTTATTAATTTTGAAGGACTGTTAAGAAAACTGAGAAAGGTAGGTAAGCATGGACATGAAAGAGTACAAAGGATTGTCAAACATGAAGATTAAGTCTCTCCTACATAAAGATTTAATGGTGACAATATACTGGCTGGCCTAGGTGAAGTTTTTAGTAGGTAAACGAGTAGACAGGAAAAGTGGCCAATTAACTAAATGGTCAGAGATACATTAAAATAGTTTTTCAATGGCAGGCAATTTGCCATTAAGAGGTAGAATCTATTTCCCCTGAAGAATGGCTTCAGGAGGGCTAGAGGCTTTGCTCTCATTCTCTCAAAACATCATTCAACCTAAGGAAGCTAGTGTGGTGCACTGGAGGACAAAGGGCTCATGGGAAACCAGTCTCCAAGGTCAACGGCCTGTAGTGACCTCTGGACATCTTAGGGAGGCCAAAAGCTAAGAATTCACAAAAGTCTTTGTGATTTTACTTCATCTTTCCCCATCATTACAGTGAGTTAGCTACTCTCTAAACTAATTTTAAAATAGTAAAACAAATAATTAAAAATCTTTTTGTGAGGATTAAACTGATATTTAAGCGAGTAAATGATCTATTGATATAGTGATAGAAGAGTTGTAGGAACATAATTTGTTTTAAAATATTTTAAAGAAAATGTGCCTCCCATATTTTACCGTAAACTATCTTCAGGATAACGCTGTCCTACTGCTTCTTGGAGCTGGACATTAAGAAAAGAAACATTCTGCCAGGTTTCCTTTTCTCTTATTTTATCAAAAATTGAGGTATAGAAGTCATACATGGTATCACCACCTTCCATTAAGAAGAAATTCCTCATGGCTTGCAAGTACTCTACCAACCTGAATAGGGAGAACATAAACAACAGTAAGATCTTAAGTTCCTTTTTTTACCATTTCATGTGAAACTGGTTCCTATTCTACATTTACTAAAATTAGAAATACATCACCCCTTGTTGTTGTATGTGATTGAGTTAGAACTGACTCATAGCTCATCCTCCAGTGAGCTTTTAGAAGTAATAAACCGCAAGGAAGGAGATTTCTCATACTTTTCCTATGAAGCAGATGGTGGATTTGAACCACTTGCCTTTGGGATTGCAGTGCAGCTTAGTAGTACGCCACCAGAACTTCCTATAACATCCCTTAAATACTCTCAAAAAGAATAAAAATAAGTACAAATTTTACTTTAATAGTAAGAAAGAAAAAAATATCTTTATACAACATGGGAAATTAGGTAAAGCAAAAAAGTGTAACAAAAAAAATTTCAAGTTCCACGATATATTTACTTATATAGGATATACTTCTATACTCTAATACAAAGGGAATTTCTTTTAGTCTTTTTTCTATGCATAAATTATAATTATAGCTGCTACCATATTATATTGAGCTTTTTAAACTTTAAGAACATTTTACATTATGAAAACCCTATACATATAACTTGAACTGTTTTTATAAAGTCTGAATCCATCAATGTTTGAATCCATCAATGACTTTGAGGGAGAAAGATGAGAAATCTCATGTAATTTACAGACAAGGAAACTAAACTGGGGGGGGTCAACTATGAGTCAGTTCCCATTCTACAGCAATGAGTGAGTGATCTACTGATAACTACTTAAGTAATTTCACTTTATTTTTTACAGATTTCACTTTAAAAAAAAATTATTTTATTTTAGTATTCTGTGTGTGCTTGTGTACCGTCAAATTGGATCTGACAGGTACAGGCGGAGAATGCCTCTCCTTCTCCAGCAGAGCATCTGGCAGATTCGAACTGCGAACCTCTGGGATTGCAGTGCAGCTTCTCTCCACTAGGTTACCAGAGCTCCCTCAGATTTCACTCTTACAGGAATTTCTGTAATGGGTGTTTTTATGCAAAAAGCTTTTTCTGTATTTCTTTGGAGATAGGTTCCAAGAAATTAGAAACATAAAAATTTCTGAATACAGTTTAGAAAATTCTCTTCAAAGAAAATTATTTACTGCATATCCCACTTCTTACTCTAACAAAAATTGATTTGAAATTGTTGTTTTGTTGTTATGTGCCATCGAGTCGTTTGCGACTCATAGAGACCCTATGCACAACAGCCCTAAACCCTGCTCCATCCTGTGCCAACCGCACTGCCTCTGACACACCCATCCCGATTACCTCAGTCACCGAATCAATCCATCTCACAGAGGGTCCTTCCCTCCTGCGCTGTCCCTCCACCCTCCCAAGCATGATGTCCCTCTCCAAGGACCTGTCCCTCCTGGCAACATGTCCAAAGTATGTCAGACGAAGCCCCAGAATCCTTGCCTCCAAGGAGTAGCTTGGTTTAATCCTCTCCAAGATGAATCTGTTTGTTTTCCTGGCAGTCCATTCAGTACTCTTCTCCAGCACCACAGCTCAAAGGCATCTACTCTCCTTCGGTCCTCCCTAGTCATTGTCCAACTCTCTGATGCATAACAAGCGACTGCAAAGACCATGGCCTGTATCAGGCGCACCTTAGTCTCCAGAGAAACACCATTGCTCCTGAGTACTTTAGAGAGGTCCCTAACAGCAGACTTACCCATCGCGATACGCTTTTTGATTTGAAATACAGGTTTTAAAAATTACTTCTTCAATTGTTCTTAAAATAAATATATATTTACCTGTAATCTTTTTTAAGAGTTTGCATGAGATTTCCACAGCAATCTAGGTATTGTTTATCGATATGAGGATATAGGCAAGATCTCAGTGTTAATTCGAAAGTCTGGCATGTAACAGATTCTGATGATCTATCCATACAAATATCACCACCAACAAACTTTTCATGAAAATCACTCTGTTCCAAATACAACCTTTAAGATAAAATTGCAAATCTTTTTTAAAAATGAGATATTGTCAGTAGAACCCCCCAAATCTCAGTTTTACCCTTGATGTTATACCAAATATTATACAAAGACAAAATCTTTCCCTAAAAAATATCATTCAAGTAAACTATAGTCTTTCACAAACTCATTTCTGCCTGTGGAATAGGTCCCTGAGCTAGTCCTTCTAGCCTTAAGGGTTGCACCCAGGGAATGACTACCATTGACAAGATAGCACTGTGTGGCCTTAAGGACTTGTTTCATAGGACTAAGCGTTAAAAAGGACTTTAAGGCCATGGTGCAGTTTTTTATGAGGGAAACTCTGACTCAATTTGTATGTCTGATGTCACTCATGATCATCTTTTGTATAAATGATAGCATTCTTTATTTAGCTGAAAGCAGAAAAAGAACAAATCTATGGACCTCTACACTTAGCATGGAAGTTAAGTCAGACATTTGAAATAAGTAAACATAGTATCTTTTGTATTCCTTTCTTTAAAAATGACAACTACAAAGGTTTTTTATTTTAAGGTTAGAAAGTTGTACTGCTTAGAAATACAGCTACTAAAATATTGTAGATTTTATCGTTTTAATTTTCCAAAAATAATGCAGGGGTGCAAAACCTTGCAAAGTTAATCGCCAGCAGTGGGTCATGAATATCATCCAGTTCCTGGTGTCTTTCGGCAATGGACTGCATCTTAATCAGGCTCTCTTTAGTCATCTGTTGCTCAGTATGGATATGTGGAGTGATATCTTCTCCATGCCGAAGACGAGACTGCAAAGATTCCAAAAAAAGGCTATATAAACTTTTTCTTTCTGCATCTGAAATATAAAGAAAAATGTCTTTCATTACAATGTAGTAGGCATTTTTTTTACTGGCATATGAAGGTAGATTCCTGCTTCTTTACTAAATTATACAACAAAATATTTACACACACACACACACACACACCCCCACCCCTGAATTACAAAGCATAAACTATTTTATTAATGGAGTAATATTCTAAACAGGCCTTCTGAAAGTTACACCATGTTGTTTATCTGCCACTGAGTAACATTATTCTAACAGTGGAGTCATCATTTCATAGGGTGAAAAAAGCTTCTCATAATTGTCCTGGAAAAGTAATTTCATTATTCAGTAAAAAAGGCAATATTCCTTATTTTAAATATGTATTTTTATAAACCAAAATAGTAAGCATAACATCAATTTGTTGTTGTTGTTGTTATGTGCCACTGAGTCATTTGCAACTCATAGCGACCCGATGTACAAGAGCTCTAAATGCTGTTCTATCCTGTGCCAACCTAGCCATCTCAAACACACTTATTCGCACCGCTCCCAGTCACAGAATCGATCCATCTCATCAAAGGTCTTCCTCTCCTTCACCGCCCCTCCACTCTGCCAAACATGATGACCCTCTCCAATGACCAGTCCCTTCTTGCAACCCACTCAAAGTATGTCAGATGAAGCTTCAGAATCCTTGACTCCAAGGAGCATTACTGCTTCACCTTCTCCAGGACAAACCTGTTTGTTCTCCTAGCAGTCCATGGTATATTCAACACTCTTCTCCAGCATCACAGCTCAAAGGCATCAATTCTCTATCAACCCTATGCACTGTCCAACTTTCTGACGCATAGCACATAACTGCGAAGACTACAGCCCAGATCAGGCGCACCTTAGTCTCCAGCCTGACATCATTGCTTTTCAGTACTCTTGAGAGGTCCCTCACAGCCGACTTTCCCAATGCAATTCATCTCTTGATTTCCTTTCTGCTGTTACCAAGAGTGTTGACTGTGGAGCCAAGTAAACTAAAACTGTTAACTATCTCAGTCTCTTCACCATCCATACTGATGCTGCCAATTGGCCCAGTGGTGAGAATCTTTGTTTTCTTGATGTTGACCTTCAATCCATATAGGAGTCTGTAGTCCTTGACCTTTTGCAGCAAGCACTTCAGGTCCTCCTCAGTTTCAGCAAGCAGGGTTGTGTCATCTGCATAATGCAGGTTGTTGATGACTATTCCACCAATCCTGATGCCACATTCCTGTTCGTACAGCCCAGCATCTTGGATGATCTGTTCTGCATACAGATTGAAAAGGTATGGAGACAGAATACATCCCTGACAGACCCCCTTCTTGATTTTGAACGATGTAGTGTCTCCTTGTTCTCTTCTGACAACTGCCACTTGGTCCAAGTATAGGTTTCGCATTAGCACAATCAAATGTTCTGGGTTTCCCATTCTTCTCAGTCAGCCACATCAATTTACAAAAAACAAACAAACAAAAAACCAAAAAACCCCAAAAAACTAAAGTAACATAAGTAGCTAATAAAGCTTTGGACAAATATCAGAGAAGTCTATCAATATATTCCCAAAACCCATGATCAAGTCTGAAATAGTCATTCACAAATTTCTATTTGTCAAAATTGTTTTTCTTATGTGCCATCAAGTCATCTGAGACTCACAGTGACCCTATATAGCTGTGAACCCTGCCCTATCTCGTGTACTCTAAGTGTGCTCTATTGTATATAGGGTTTTTTGTTGTTGTTGATTGCCATTGAGTCGAGCATGACTCATAGCGATCCTATGAACAAAAGGCCTGAAGCCTTTCTATAACTATTGTCATTTATCAAAGTTCATAGAGTTTCCAGAGGCATGTTGTTTAGGAAGTGGATGGCACTCCTGCTTCCATATAGGGTTTAGTGGTCCTCAAAAGTGAAATATTGGACTACATTAAGAAATGCAAGAGAATTTTTTTTTTTCAAGACCAAATTTAGAATATTGAGAATAAGTAAAATACTGTAAATCCTGAAATTAAAATATTTGATTTACATAACACTTGTTTATATTTTAACACTATGTAAATTTGCCCTCACTTTGAAACAACTCTAACTCACACCAAATTCATTATAAACAAGTTCACTTGCTACAAATATAACTTTTAAAAATCACTGAAAGGTTTCAAGGCTGGGAGTTCAGACAGCACAGTCAGGAGGGAGTTGCACTGTTAACCAAAAGGCTACTGTCAGAACCCACCAGTGGCTTCACAGGGGTAAGACAGGAAATCTTCTCCCATCCAATTTATACCCCTGGATACCCAATAGAAAGTTAACTATGAGTGAGTTCTGACATGAAGGAAATGGTGAGTGGGAGAAGTAAGGCTAAATAAGAACTGTCTGTATCTGCATATTCCACTTAATAAAATATAGGAGTCTTGTTTGTTACTTGGAATATTGACTATATATGTCACATTTATTATGAATGCCTTTCCAAATAGTTTCCAATGAGAATAAGACATTTTTTGAGATGGGCTCTGATTTGCTATAAGAACAGAGGCACTAAGCCAGAGGAAGATGGTCATGGAGCAGAAGCTCAGAGACAAGGAGCTTCCTCCAGAAACCCCAGAGAAAGAAAGCCTTTCCCTAAAACTGGCCCCTGGGACTCAGACGTGGACCCTTCTAAAACTGTGAGACTTATCTGTCAGTTTGTTATAATGTGGAAATGATCTGCATCTATCAAGCTGTATAGTAGCTTGGATATCTGTATTCTTGGCTGTTTATCATTGCTCTACAGCACTTGTCTGTCCGTTTGCTGTAGCTGTGGGTTGATGTAATGCTGAAAGCTGTGCCACTAGTATGTCAACTTGTTAAGTATTCATACTCTATGCATTCCAGGTTCCAACTATTAAAGCATGTTTGCTGTTTCTCCTCATTTTGACTGACTTTCAGTCTGTGTTCTCTCTCTAATACTGTATCTATCAGTGTTCCTATATTGTTCACACAGGTTTCAGAGGCCTGTTATTACAGAAGGGGATGGTCAATCCTGCTCCCTCTTAATCTGAGAGCTCCACTCAGTTAAAAGCAGTATTTTTTATTGACTTGACCTTGGTGATGATTTCCATTAAAATATTAAGCAGTGATCATTTTAAAACTATAAAATTACATATCTCAGAATGATTTAGAGTCAATATAGCAGACATCAAGATGTTAAGGTTAGTATATTAAAAACAGACATACTACTACCTCTTGCTGCTGCCTGGCACCTGGAGTTTTCCACACACTGAAGATTCTTAAGCAGTTGCATGGATTTGCCAGCCATTATAATCCGTTTAAGGACAGGTTTGAGGAAGGAAACCATGGTGTGCTGCCTGCTAGAAGATCCCTGGTCACTACCAGAACTGGCACTAGCATTATCACTCATTTTTTCTTCATTTTCAGTCTTTTCTGATACACTGTACAATGTGTACGTTGCATACCAAAAGTCTCTATGGTTTACTGGAACATTTTTGTTTCTGTAGAAATAAAAAAGAATTTTAAATTTGAACCTTGTTTTTAAAAAGAACAAAAGCAATAATCTGTTCTACTGTAGTCAGACATGTTTTGCAGATACTCCAAAGTATAGTCATAACAGATTATTAGTGTAAGAATTTTTTTATTGTTTAAAATACTATACATTGTTGTAAGCTGCTGTGCATTGGGCCCAAACTCACAGTAAGATCATGTGTTACAGTGGACACTATTGGATTTTCTTGGCTTTAATTTTTTTTCCCCCAAATTTGAATGTGCTTTTATTTTGCTCTTTAAAACACTGCTAAATTATCCTGGAAACCAATGAAAAGTAGTTGGGAGTTTGGCTTTAATTTTTACAGTACCTGTGTGCCACTTTTTTTTCTGCAGAGCTCTCAGGTGGGCTCAAACTGCTAACCATTGGGTTAGCAACTGAATATAAACCCCTTCCTCATTCAGGTGTGTGTAAAAAAGCATTTATCACACCATTTTCCCATTCAATACTTCTCATGTACACAGTGCCATAATATGCACTTATTATGTTGGTTATCAAGAAAGTTCTGATGCCTTTGTCCATGAGGAACTGTGCTTTAACCTAAAGGAGGCAGTTTCTTCAGAAGAAACATGGGAAATCTCTTCTGTGATTTATAGCCTATGAAAACTCACTGGAGGGATAGCTTTAAGTTGACTCCATGGCAGTAAGTTGAGCTGATATCATCATGTGATATTCATTCTGGTCATTTATTAACTAAATTCTCAACTTCTGTTAAAATTCTCATTTATAAAATACTCGTGCACCACAACAAGATCAAGGAGAATAATCCAATTGAAAAATGGGCACAGGATATGAACAGACACTTCACCAAGGAAGA